GTTGGGGCAGGTCCAATGCCCCTGGACATCCGTGACCTGACAGGCCGGCGCCCGGCGATTCTGTCGCCGGCGCCGGACTGGGGGGTCCGAGGCAGAGCGTTATTATCTTGCCGTCTTGCCCCAAGGATGGGAGTACTGCTATGCGCTGCTCCCGCAGTTTTCTTCGCTGGATCAGGACTCCAAGCGCCGCCGCTAGGCAGGGTGGCCAGTCTTCGTCGAAACTCTCGCGGGGATGGTCAAGATCATGATAACTACGCCTCTGCACGTGACAATGGCAGTCCGGCCGCGCCGGCATATGAACAAGGAGGTAAACATGTGGAGTTATTGAAAGACGGGGAGCTGGGCCCGAGTGTCGTATGGAGGCGGGCAAATGTTCAGAAAGGTTTTTCCGTCAGTGGACGGAGGAAGGTACGCATTGACCCGAGCACGCCTCAGCCAGCCACTTGGACTGTTCGATCGATGCGTAGATAAGTACACGGGGACATCCTTTCGAGATTGATCCTCAGTGGGCTAGGAAGCGGGCGCGCAAGGTGAACATTCATGGGCAGATGGCGTTTGACGAAGCCGTTGCTCTAGAGCAGGAAGTCCGGCGCACGTGGGTTGGCTGAGGAGGAAGAGAAGGAGGAGGAGGAGGAGGAGGAGGAGGAGGAGGAGGAGGAGGAGGAGGAGGAGGAGGAGGAGGAGGAGGAGGAGGAGGAGGAGGAAGAGGAGGTGGAGGGACGAGGGGAAGGTGGACGGGGAGAAGGTGGAGAGGGAGGATGAGGAGGTGGAGGGGAGGAGGAGGAGGACAATGGGGGGGGGAACGGGGGAGGATGTGGACGGGGGGAGGAGGTAGGAGGAGGAGGAGGAGGAGAGGAGGAGGAGGAGGAGGAGGAGGAGGAGGAGGGTGAGGAGGGAGGAGGAGGAGGAGGAGGAGGAGGAGGAGGAGGAGGAGGAGGTGGAGGGGTAGGGGAGGAGGTGGACGGAGGAGGAGGAGGAGGAGGAGGAGGAGGAGGAGGAGGAGGAGGGAGGAGGAGGAGGAGGAGGAGGAGGAGGAGGGGAGGAGGAGGAGGGGAGGAGGAGGAGGAGGGAGGAGGAGGAGGAGGAGAGGAGGAGGAGGAGGAGGAGGAGGAGGAGGAGAGGAGGAGGAGGGGGGGGAGGAGGAGGAGGAGGAGGAGGAGGAGGAGGAGGAAGAAGAGGTGGAGGAGGAGGAGGAGGAGGAGGAGGAGGAGGAGAAGGTGGACGGGGAGAGGGTGGAGAGGGAGGAGAAGGAGGATGATGATGAGGAGGAGGAGGAGGAGTGAGGAGGAGAAGGGGGGATGTTGAAGGGTGAAGGGAGAGTGGAAGAGAAAGAAGCGGGTGGAAAAGTATCAGGAGGCATGTTGGTAGCCCCCCCCCCCTTGCATCGGCCATCGTGCCCTGCGAGGCTGGTCCAGGTGCCTTGCCAGCAGTCGCCCGACACCCCCTCCTGTGAGAGACAGCTGACAAGGAGGCTCGGGGCGCCCCCAAACGGTGCGGCGACCAAACCGTGTGGCGAGTCAGTTGGGATTTGGGGTGATCGGACGTGCTTGGGACTGCGGCCTTTCTTCGAGGACGTCTCGGGCCACCAGGGCCTCCATGGTCCCGAGACCGTGCGGCGACTGACCGCTCGGTGCGGCTGTTTGGGGACGCCGACACCATCGCACGGTCTGCCACCGATCGTTTCGGGACCCCCAGGTCAGGGGCAACGCGCTGGAGGGATGGGCACCCCGTGCCACCAGGCAGAGACCGGTTCTCAGAGAGTGCGTGTATCGTCCCCCTCCTCCTCCTCCTCCCTCCTCCTCCTCCTCCTCCTCCTCTCTCCCTCCTCCTCCTCCTCCTCCTCCCCCTCCCCTCCTCCTCCTCCTCCTCCTCCTCACTCCTCCTCCTCTCCCCTCCTCCTCCTCCTCCTCCCTCTCCTCCTCCTCCTTCCTCCCCTCCTCCTCCTCCTCCTCCTCCTCCTCACTCCTCCTCCTCCTCCTCCTCCTCCTCCTCGTGCTCCTCGACCCCCACTCGCCCATTCATTCGCAGGACTGGCAGTGGCCTGGTAGCCCACCCCGCCCTGGAGCGTGCGGCTTCGCCGTCGGGAGCTCCTCGCCGATCTGTCGGCGGTGTATCGCCGGTTCCGGGTCGATGTTACCCGTTACCTCCCCCCCCCCCCGAGCCAGTCCCCCGCGCCTCGTTCAGCCCCGACCTTGGGCACGCGCCCGAGCCCGCCCGCGGTCGTGTCATCGACTCTGCGGCTCGAGGCAGAAATCGCGCGGGGGTCTGCGGCACGGGCTGCGAGTCGACCCGCACCCAGCTAATGCCAGGACGTTTCCAGGCCTCCCAGTTGGGATCCGAGCAGGTGGGGTCGGAGGATCGCGCCGCATCGCTCATGCATCGCCGAGGCGGCTCGATGTGGAGCCCGATTTTCTCTACGCCGACGGCGCCGATGCATCGTCGACGTCGCCTGTGCATCGGCGATGCGGCGCGATCCTCCGACGCCATCTACTCGGACACCATCTACACTTAGGCGTATCTGTTGCTAGTGATTCGCCTGACGGACTGTAGGAGGATTCGTGGCTGGGGCGCGGGTCGCTCTAGCTGCCCTTTTCAGACGACAGGCCATCCTTCTTGCCAGCATAAGCTGCTGGAACAACTTTCCCTCGTCAAGATAAGGTGCTGGAACCCACGCCGTGGGCTGCTGGAACCATTGCCCCTCGTAACAGATGGGTGCTGGGACCCACCGTTCTTGTCGGCAAAAGCTGCTGGAGCAACTTCCCCTCGTGAAAATTCGGCGCTGGAACCTCACCCCGTTTAGGGCTTTAGATATCTCAATAGGGCGGGGGGATGGGACGGGGCCCAGTGGTGGGGTTTCTAGACTTGTAGTTGCGCCTCGCTCTCAAACGGGAGCAGTGCGTGCGCATGTGCGTGAGCGTGTGCGTGTGCACAAACGGGCGTGAGCGTGCGCAGGCTCGAGCGCGAGCCCGAGCCCGAGCGCGAGCGCGAGCTTGAGACCGAGCCCGAGCCGGAGCCCCATCCTGAGCTCGTGCGCGCGCGTGGGCGCACGTGCGCGTGCGCGTGATCGTTCACGTGCACGCGCGCGTTTGCTTGCGCGCGTGCGTGCGCGTGCGATTCCGATAGGTTAACAGGCGATCAAAAAAAACACGACCAATAATGTTCACCTGACTGTATGAGGGCCCGAACTCTGACAATGGATATCTTTAACTCAAATCTGGGTCGGGGATCCTTGTCTTGGCCGAGGCTGGCAGTGGCAAGAAAAGCCCATTCGTTCCTGATTTCGCGCTCTTCATGGTAGCACGATGATGGCCCCCCCCCCCCCCCCCCCCCCATAAAAAGGGTGATTACACAAACGCACACACATAGGTGCCCATAAGGGAAGGAGTGAAGAGAGTGGCAGTCGTTAGCGGCAAGCCCTGCCAGCTGTAGGCCCTGGGAGGGGGGCATGAAGATCACCAGGAGATGTGCCGTGTCGGTGTGTTGTTCGGTTCCCGTCGTATTCTGACATCCGTCTAGAGTGCGGTTGCGTCGCCACTCAGGCACGGCATGAAGGGTGGCTGTTCTATTACGGCACTACACGCTTAAAGTTTCCTGTCAGATCGGGTCTGCATTGAAGGTCATACAAGAACTTCAAGCATGTCAGAGCTTGCGAAGGCCTTGCGGCCGGTGCCGCCGACCCTGAAGGGAGACGACGACGACGACGACAGTGGCGGCGACGACGACGCTGACGTGGGCCAAAGTCCCCAGGGATGCTTGTTGAAGTGCGTCTGAGATTTAGGCTTCTTGGGCCAGCCCCTACGGAATCCAAGACGGCCTAAGATGTCCCCAAGAGAACTCCGTGACAGCCCCGTGGAGTTGGAAGTATGGTCTCCCAACCAGGCTTCGAAGCCTCGGGGGAAGTAACGCCCAAAAACCCGGGAGCAACCGCAGGAATTCTGGAAATCCGACGCTTTGAGTTTTTATCAGAAAGTAGCAGCTACAATATTCATAAGAGAGCACACGACATCATTGGTATAGCCACGGTGCAACCACAGCATGGTGGCGGACCATCGTTGTGCATAGCCACGGTGCAACCACAGCATGACAGGTGTTGCCTTATGTTTGCATCAGATGTTGCTGTAGACAAAGACATGGTTGCCGCAGATGTGTCCTAGTGACTCAGCATCTCTTCTGGCACTGCACTACTGGCCACAGCTGCGCCACAGCCTCACGCTCTAAGCTCTCAGCTAGCTTGTGGCGGCTGCGCATAACATGTCGGGTAAAAAAACGCATTTGTGTGGTGTGTGGTGTATGTCAAATCCTGGTGCCACGGACACTGCACGGGCCTGCTCGTTGGTTCCTGCGTTTGGGCCTGGCTTGCATGTCAGCAGCATTGGCCGAGCCCGCTTCTCGCACATCGCTGGTCGGGCCCCAGGGGCAGATTCGACGGTCACGTGCTGGGTGGCTGGGGGAACTTGGCGAGGCTGGGCCGGCGAGCCCGTGCCAAGGATCTGACATGCGCTGGAGTTCCCCCGCAGAGCATGATTTTGTTCCTGGAGCCCCTGCGCCGCCGCATCCAGGGGCGGCCGCTGCATAGACCGAGTGTCACATGTCGGGTGGCTGGGGGAGGTTGGACTGGCGAGCTCGTGCCCAGCATGCGACAGGCGCTGCGGAAGGGCTGGGTTGGTCGGAAGCTCCCCCGCAGACTCTGATCGTTCCTGGACCTCCCGCGCCGCCGCATCCAGGGGCGGCTGGTGCGCAGACCAACCGTACCGCGGGGGCGGGGCCCACCCAGGAGCATCTCCCCCCAGAGGAACAGCCCGCCCAGCGAGAGCAGGTTTGGAGTGCACCCCTTCGAGCTCTTAGGGCTGGACCACGGATATGACCACCGAGCTGGAGCCATACGTGAGGGTCGGGTGGCCGAGAGCACCGCGCCAGTGTTGCTCGTCGACGGCATGGGCGGGGCCAGCAGCAACGTCCAGGACGGGGATCGGGGCTGGTGGCGCCCCGCCCGCGGGCAGGAAGCGGCGCCCCTGGCGATGGGCTCGACATCTCCGCGCTCACGCTGCTGCTGTCCGAGCGGGACAAGGAGGCCCTTTGTGCGGACCTTCTGCTCGGGAAAGCGAGGGCCTCGAACGTGTTCCCCGGCTCGCAACAAGTAAATTCTGCCTCTCTCTCTCTCTCTCTCTCTCCTCCTCCTCCTCCGCCTCCTCCTCCTCCTCCGCCTCCTCCGCCTCCTCCTCCTCATCATCATCATCCTCCTCCGACTCCGCCTCCTCCTCCTCCTCCCCGGCGTGGGTTGGAGAGGCACCTTTCTCCAGAGCGGCGGCACGAGGGCGCGAAGGGAACAGCGCGAAGTTACGTGACCTAATGCCTCGAGACCTCCACTGAATGTCAAAAGTATATGAGTAACAAGGCCCGTACAGGGGTGGTACGCGGGCAGGCACGCGAGCTCGCAGATTGCCAAGACCTGTCGCAGGGGCTTCCTTCATGGCTGCGCACAGGTCTGGCACGCCCTCTTGCGGCCTTATGAAGACTTTCTGGGCGCGTCAGTGGCCTTGGGGATCAACGGGCGGGTGGTGGGCCTTCTTCGGACCCCAATCGCATTCTCGAAGAGCGGCCCGCTTTCATATTCGAAGGCTAGATCCTCCTTGAGGCTCCCTGGGCTCCAAAGCTGTAAAATATAAAATAGAGGGTTCAAACCACAATGCCTAAAGTGTTGGAGCTTCAAATTGTTTCATTTACCCAGAGCGACCCCCTGTTGTGAGGATTCCTGTCAAAATCCTGAGGCCGTCGCTTTGTTTCTCACCCGACAGGTTGGGGTCCTTAGATTTTAAGAACGGACCTCCCATCCGGGCCGCCCGCCTTGCTTTCCGCGGCCGCCAGATCCCCAGGCTCTCGATAATCATTGGTGCCCCCCCGCCTTGCATACCGCGGCCGCCAGATCCTCAGGCTCCTGATAATCCTTGGTGGTCCCGCCCTCCCGCCCCGCCCTGCATACCGCGGCCACCAAATCCCCAGGCTCCCGACAATCCCTGGTGCGCCCTGCATACCGCGGCCACCAAATCCCCAGGCTCCCGACAATCCCTGGTGGTCCCGCCCCCCGCGTCGACTCGCCCACTCTGCATACCGCGGCCGCCAGATCCCCAGGCCCCCCCACAGAACAGAGCATAACACCACACCACCGAACAGAGCACATCCGAGCATAACATGCCATAGCATGACAGGCCATATCTTAACATAGCACACCATGACAGAGCAGTGCATACCATAGCACACCAGCACAGCACTTACCAGCCCATACAATGACATATCAAGCATATCATAACACCTCAACGCAGAGCTGAACCTACCAGAACAGAGCTTGCCACACCATCACATTACATGACACATCATACCATAACACACCACAGCATGACAACGTATGCTGTGACAGATCAGATCATACATAACATAGGATACTACAACAACACGTACCAGAGCATACCATAACATGGCATAACGCTGGCCGAGACTACCGCGCCTCGCGCACATCGTTCCAATGAGCGCGCGCACCTTCGGGGTCAAACGCCGAAGGTTTCGGGTGGGGGCCGATATAAGCACAATCACTGTTGGACCAGTTGGTTTGACCCAGGCCGTGCGCAAGACGGGGGCTGGGCACAGATGGGTCATACTCGTGGTTGTGCGCGTGGGGGAAGGTTGAAGTGAGGGGGAAGGGAGGGGGAGCTTCTGGGGGGAGGCAGAGGAGAGGGACTGCGGTCGGGGTGGGGAGCGTGGGCGGAGGGGGAAGCGGGAGGGGAGCTCGGTCACAGGGCAGGGCAGGGCGTCGTTCCCAGGGGCCCATGCTGCAGCCCACCCCCCATCTTCGGAGGCACAAAGCCACGAGACGCGGGAGCGCTTGGCCCCACAGGGGGGAGGGGGGGACGGGGGGGGGCGTTGTTGCGGAGGGCTGCGGTGTCTCATCGTTGCTTCGGAGGCATCGCTCTTGGGCCATTGGCAGGACGCCCCTGGCACGCGGCCCCCCTCGCTTCATGTGTCTTCTTTAAGCCCTATCATCTCTCCGTTGCCCCTCTTCCATCCATCTTCCCTCTTGAAATCTCTCTCTCCTCCTCCTCCTCCTCCTCCTCCTCCTCCTTCTCCTCTCTCCTACCCCCTCCCTCCCTCCTCCTCTCCTCCATCCTCCTCCTCCTTCTCCTCCTCCTCCTCCTCCTACTCTCCTCCTCTCTCTCCTCCTCCTCCTCCTCTCCTCCTCCTCCTCCTCCTCCCTCCTCTCCTCTCCTCCTCCTCCTCCTCCTCCTCCTCCTCCTCCTCCTCCTCCTCCTCCTCCTCCTCTTAGCGCCAGCTGGCACGAGCACGGCGCTCGGGGCGCAAGGAGCTGGCCACTCTGTCTGAGGAGGCTGGCGATGCAGAGGGCGCCAAGCGCTACAAGGCAGCGGCGGCGAGGGCAGCTGCGCCCCCCCACCCCCAAGGCTCCGACGGCCCGCCAGAGGTGGCAGCGCGCGGAGCAGCGCCAGGCAGCCTAAGAGACAAAACTCGGCGCAGAACTGGACAAGTTGGACAAGTTCCGTAAGGGCGTCGAGGAACTGGTCGGCAGCATCGCGGAGTTGCAGCACCAGCTGCAGGAGGCCGACGCGGAGGTGCACCAGGCTCTGGCTGAGATCCACGTCGGCTCCGCCCCAGTGGCGGCGGCGCCACCTAACATCAGTATTCGCGAGCTGGCGCAGGGACCTCTTCAACTGGGACAGATCTGCACGGTGGACGACTTCCTCGGCATGGGCGACTTGATTGGCGGCTACGACCTGGAAACCAAGGATCGCGAGGACTTGGAGTAGCGCAAGCAGGCGGCTGCTCGGGAGATCCAGGCGGCCATCAACAGCACCATCAAGGGCGTCCTGGAAGAAGAAGAAGAATAAGAATAATCATAAGAAGAGAAGAAGAACAATAAGACAATAAACAATGCCGCCATGGAGAGGCAAAGCCGGCACATGGACCGCCTCGAGGGCAAGAAGAGGAAGACCAGCAAAGGAGACCCAGCCCCAGGCGGCAGTCCAGCAGGGGCTGGGGGGCCACGGCGGCGGGCGCGCGGCTTGCTGCTGCGCATGCAAGTCAGTCGCCTGGCAAGCGGGTGGCCAACGTGCGGGGGCGGCTGGCAGCGGACGAGGAGATCCGCCGAGCCCACGCAGCTCCGTGGCGTCTTTAGCAAGGCGCCCGTCCTGGTCGGCGAGCTCTGCATGATGTCTGGACAGCCTGGCCGCTCGGTGTCAGAAAGAGCCTACATCTTCGTCGAAGCGCGCGGGCAGAAGGACTGTGGACCGAATCCCACAGAGGTTGAAGCTGCCGCCTATCCTAGCCCCTCACCTGCGACCTCCTACCCACGCGCCGCCTGCATCTGGCAGCGGGCGCGCGGGATGCAGCATGGGATGGTCAAAGGAGAGTCCGGAGGCCACGATGGATTTGACGGCAGCACCTTCGGAGGAGACGCTTTCGAGGGGCAGGTCCAACAGGACCACGACCGCGCTGGTGGAGGTCGTGGGGAAGTTGGGCCCCTCGTTCGCGATGCTGGGCCCCAGCGAGATGGGCTGGAGACTCGGGGGCGCCGACCTCGAAGATCTCGACCCAGCAGACGGGCGGGGGGGGCTGCGGGTCGAACCGCGAGGGAGATCGGCCGAAATTAGCGCGAACCGCTGATCCCAGAGCGGTTCTCGCCAAGGCCCCTGTCGTCGCGGAGTTTATAGTAGCAGGAGCATCTGGGATGGTATCCCCCAGGTGGCCAGAGATGTCGATCCGCGAGGGGGATCGGCCTAACCTCGCGCGAACCGCTGATCCCAAAGCGGCTCTCGACAAGGCCCCTGCCGCCTCAGAGTTTGGAGGAGGTGTCGCAGGGCAAGTATTCCCCCAGGTGGCGAGAGAAGTGCGTTCCTCTGGACTGGGGGCATCATCCACATGAAGCGCCTGCACAGGGTCTGACGTTGGGCAAATATTTCCCTGGGTGGCCAGAGATGTGCATTCGTCTGGACTGAGGGCATCGTCCTCTTTGAGGGCCGGTGCATGGGCGGACGGCGGTGGCCGCGGGTGGATCCGCGAGGGAGATCGGCCGAACCTCGAGCGAACCGCTGATCCTAAAGCGGCTCTCGCCAAGGCCCCTGCCGTCTCGGAGCTTGGAGCAGCAGCGGTCGCAGGGCAATTATTCACGACCACGGCGAAACTGACAGGATTGGGAAATAGATGGTCATCATCATCATCAGCATCATTTCCACCATCACCATCATCATCATTATCATCATCACCACCACCATCACCATCACCATCATCACCATTATCAGCAGCAGCACCATCGTGTCCCCTTCGCCCCCCCCCTCCCTGCGCCACTCCCGCCGACATCCCACCATATGTCCCTCCCCTTCATCTGCCCCTGCACCCCCCCTTCCATGGAGGAGGCAAGCTAGGTGCACTCGAACCATATATGACGTCCTACCCGTCTCACCCATCCCGTCCCAGTGCGCTGATGTGGTGCTATCTCCGCGGACGCGTGTTTCAGCGGACTTGGAACTCCTGAAATGAAACAGTCCTGTTGCTCGCAAAATCGGACAAGGCGTTAGCCAAGCAAGGGGAAAAGGACGAGGCAGCAGGAGGAGGAGGAGGAGGAAAAGGAGGAGGAGAACGACGACGACGACGAGGACGAACAGCAGCAGCGTGGGTTGGCGTGGAAGGAGCGCGAGGAGCAGGAGGGCCAGGGGAGGGCGGAATATGGGAAGGGAGGGGGGCAACAACGAGGAGGGAGGATTCGGATCCTGAAGAGCGGCCCGCTCTGGGGCGAGAGCGCCATTCGGAACGACGGGAGCAACGCGCCGGTCCGAAAATGAGGCCCACGCTGCAGCGGGAGCACCTTTGCGAACCACAAGCAGCAATCGGATGGTAAACGTCCATCTGACAAATATCAGATCGACTGGTCGCGGAAGTGGCGGGGCCTCTTCCGGACAGAGTCAGGCACGAGAGGAGAATAGCATTCATATTGTGTGGAGAGGAGGAGGAGGAGGAGGAGGAGGTGGAGGAGGAGCAGGAGGAGGAGGAGGAGGAGGAGGAGGAGGAGGAGGAGGAGGAGGAGGGGGAGGAGGAGGAGGAGGAGGAGGAGGAGGGGAGGAGGAGGAGGAGGAGGAGGAGGAGGAGGAGGAGGAGGAGAGGAGTAGGAGGAGGAGGAGGAGGAGGAGGAGGAGGGGGAGGAGGAGTAGGAGAGGAGGAGGAGGAGGTGGAGGAGGAGGAGGCGGAGGAGGAGGTGGAAGAGGAATTGAACGAGTAGGATGGGGAGACCACGCTCAACGAACCCTCACCTCAGGCCAGCAGGAACCAGGGCCCAGGAGGAAGAGAAGGAGGGGGAGGAGGAGGAAGAGGAGGGGGAGGGGGAGGGAGAGGGGGATGACAGGAGGAGGAGGAGGAGGAGGAGGAGGACCAGTGCAAACCCAAGAATCATCAACGAGGCTGCTCTCTCCAATCAAGTTCCGTTGTCGATTTATGCTCACTCATGGAAATTACCGTTTGAGAATCCGGAATTGTGCCAGAACGCGATTATTGGGATTCATTCCGACGCCGCGAATCACCGTGACGGTTGCGTTTTGACGATCCTGAATCGTGCCAGAACGCCCGTGGGAGTTCAACATTACGAATCAACATGACCGTTGCGCTTTGGCAGTCCGAAATCGTGCCCAAGCACCATTTCTTGGACGCTCACCATGAGAATCCTTGAACATGCTGTGAAATCTTAAGAGGAATGCGCGCGGCGCTTACGTCAGAGCCACATCTCGAAAGGCAGCCGCCCTCCATCCGTGAAGACATTGCAATTTGTTTGTAGACGAATGTACGCGGCGCTAAGGCGAGAGCCGCCTTCTGAAAAGTAGCAGCCTTCCATCAGCGAAACTCGTGCAATTTGTTAGACGATTGTGCGCGGCGCTGAGGCGAGATAATACACATGCCAAGCTTCAGGATCATAAAGTGCGAGGCGGTCTCCGGCGAAACGCCCGGCCCCGCCCCTTGGACTGGCTTCGGGGCGCGATAGGGAGGAGGCATCTATAAGATCAAATACAGCAACAACAACAACAACAACAACAACAACAACCACAACCACAACCACAATCAGAGTCACAACCACAACCACAACCACAACAACAACAACAACAACAACAACAACAAGAACAACAACAACAATAATGGAGCAGGAAGCGGAGGACGAGGAGGAGGAGGAGGAGGAGGGCGCAGGATGGGAAGGAGGTGTAAGATGGATGGGCAGGACGAGGACGCCGCTGTCGCCAGCCACGCTCGCCCCTCCCTCCTTCCGCGCTCGCCAGGTGCAGGCGCTGGAGGCCAAGCTCGCAGGCCAGGGGCCGTCCCTGCAGCAAGCGGGGGGGCAGGGCAGGGCGGCGCTTGGCGGGGCGGGGGGAGGAGAAGAGAGGGGACGGAGGGAGGGAGGGGAGGGAGGGGAGGGAGGGGAGGGGAGGGAGGGGAGGGAGGCAAGCTAGGTGCGCTCGCGTCATATCTGACATCCTACCCCTCCCTCCCATCCCTTCCCATGGCGCAGATCCCCTCTCTACTCGCACAGTCGGATGTTGAGCAGGGCAATGATCCCGAAAGGGTACGCGATGCATTGTAGAGCACGGCATGGCATGCCGTAGAAGAGCACCGCGAAGCGCAGTATCAACCTAGCATTGCATTGCATGCCGTGGCATAGCACGGGAAATGACGCCAGCACTGCAGCGAGAGCACGAGTCGGAACGAGCGGAAGCGCGGAAATCAGGCCAGCGCTGCAGCGGGAGCACGATTCGGAACGAGCGGAAGCACGGAAATGAGGCCAGCGCTGCAGCGGGAGCACGATTCGGAACGAGCGTGGCCCGAAAATGATGCCGGCACCTCAGCGAGTGCAGCATTTTGGAAAAAATGCAGGCGAAAACCCAAATCCCGGGAAACCCTGTGGGTAAAAAACAGTGCGCGGGGGGGGGGGCTAACACTTTCAAGCCGTCATCAAAGGAAGAGGGAGAGTAGTATTCATATTGAGTAATTGTGGAGGGAGGGGAGAGGAGAAGAGAGGAGAGGAGGGGACGGAGGGGACGGAGGAGAGGAGGGGACTGAGGGAGGGAGGAACGGGTGGCTGGACGTACTGGACTTACAGCCTCCGCGTGGCGAAATGGATAACAAATCTTCCGCTCAAGCCATTGCTCGAGCATCAACACCCCTAAGCTCCCTGGTCTTCGGGCGGAGGTCCCTTGCGAGCCTGTCAAGGTGCTCCTTACGCGTCTTGGACACGGGGAGCTTGCACTCGTCCGCCAAGCCTCTTAACTGGGCTTGCCCGAGGAGCCCGCAGGCTCCGCAAAACCACAGGCTCAAGCCGTGGTGGAAAGTTAGGGCATGCGAGGGGTGGGCCCAACCTCCAGCAATATGAAGACGACGATCCCTTCTAATCCTAGAGACTCGACCGTCAACATTCTCAAGATCACGGCACGAGCTCTGGAGAAATTGCGTCAAAGAGGCAGTGGCGGCCGAACCTTTACAACGCTCACATCTTTTTCCAGATTCATCCAGGGCATGGGCAGTCGCGAAGCGAGCAAAATACTCGGCGCAGGAGGACGCGGAGTTGGAAGGGGAACTTGCCTCGGGCGCGAGGGGTGGGGAGGAAGGGAGGTATGGGAGGAGAGAAGGGGAGGGAGGGAGGGAGGGAGGGAGGGAGGGAGGGAGGGAAGGGAGGGAGAGGAGGAAAGGGGGGGAGGGGAGGAAGGGAGTGTAGAGGAGAGGAGGGGCGGGAGGGAGGGAGGGGGGTTCCTTGTCCCTCACAGGCTCCGTGTGCTGGGGCCTTGGCGCCAGAGGCCCGGCCCCTCGCTCCTCGCTCCCGGCCTGGAGCTTTCGACACCCTCCCTGGGCCCGCCTCTTCGTCCCGAGCCGCGCTCTGTTGATTGCCGCCCCGCGCCAGCTGCTCCGGCAGGGCTGGCCGCACCGGCGCGCTCGCCGTGAAATTCCTTCACCTGTGAGTGCCCTGCCCCCTCCGTCTCCGCTCTCTCCGCGGCCGACTTGCCTTCCGACGCCCTCCCTCTTGCAGGGCTCTTTTCGATTCCTCCGATTCGATTCGATTCGACTCCAATGGCTTCCGATTCCGATTCGATTCGATTTGGGATTCCGACTTGGGCTCCGATTTCTCATTGGAGGCATATTGGCCTCCCGATTTCTGCCGAGCCGACTTCTCCCGACTCGGCTGCCGATGTCCACCGATCCGATCTGTTTCGA